TGGGTTTGGATGGGTTGGAGTCAGCCTACTACTTTTGGATGGGTTGGTAGTAGTAGTAGTAGTAGTAGTAGCAGCAGCAGCAGCAGTAGTAGTAGTAGTAAAAGTGGTAGTAGTAGTAGTAGTAGAAGTAGTAGTAGTAGTAGTACTACTACTAGTAGTTGTAGTAGTAGTACTACTACTAGTAGTAGTACTTGTAGTAGTAGTAGTAGTAGTAGTAGTAGTAGTAGTAGTAGTAGTAGTAGTAGTAGCAGTAATTCAATAGTAGTAGTAGAAGTACTAGTACTTGTAGTACTAGTAGTCGTCGTCGTCGTCGTGGTTGTTGTGCTAGTCGTCGTAGCAGCAGCAGCAGCAGCAGCAGTAGTAGTAGTAGTAGAAGTACTAGTACTAGTACTAGATATAGATAATATATATATAAACCTTGCGCTCGCCCTTGCGCCTTCTTGCGCCTACCAGGTAAAAACAGCCCAAAACTGATCAATCTTTATGACATGTCCTCTCTAAAGCCTGACTCTATACAAGGGGTTTCGAACGGCTCCCATGTATACTACTATAGCTATAGCTATATAGTACACTACTAGAACCTCTTCTGAACTGGCTATAGTATAGCTACTCTTGCTAGTTCAGAAGGGGTTGCTTTCTTACACTCCTCTTCATGTCCTCAGCCATTCTCGGTCCCGGAACCGACCAACCGAGAGATGGGCATTGCCTGCAATCGCCTCTTGACCCAGACCGTAAAGGACATCAAATTCATGTGGATGGAATCCTAGGGTGTGAGTATACAGTTGTTAGTTGTGTGCCTATAGAACCTGGGTCGTAGAAAGGAAACAAATAAACAATGGCTGTGCCAAAACTGGGGGATCCCGCTTGACATGAAGCGAATTTTCTCTGCGGAGGTCAACCAACCAGGAGAAACGGGCGAACCCGGGTTGAAGGACTTGGGGCTGCCTGTACACTAAGATTCCAGGACACGAGGAGTCTGGCACTGCCATAGGACTGCCGGCCAAGACAGACCCCCAGTCAACCACCCCGAACGCCCGTTTGGAAGGCAGTCCGAATCGGCAGACTCGTCGTGTCTAAGATTTGATCTGGAAGGATGATGTGTTCTTCCACTGACGTGTAGAGCTCCCCCCTCAAAGAAAACGCGAGAAGGGCTTACACCGGTGGGTGGTTTGAAAACACTAGTCCTATGCACGGTCATAGAGGTCTCCTAGATGTGGAAGACCTCCAAGACCTCCATGGGACATAGGATGGAGGGTTTCCTCCACTTCCCTCCATCTTTCCTTGGCAATTCTTTCCTGGAATTCCATGTTCACAGCTGTACCTGGGGTCAGTTCAAACTATGGAATTCCCAAGAAAGATGAAAACAACCCCAGGCCGAAGCATTCACTGAACTAAACAGTCAAGCCCAGCTGTGCCAGTGACGGACCCTTGCTAAGTCCCCATGCGCAAGTCTGAGGCCCTGCCAAGGGAGGGATGTCTCAGATCTTGTTACTGCATTGAGCCTCTCGTGCTGTAACCCCGTTCGGGATTTGACTCGGACAAGAACCAGGTGCAATACCAAAACCATCCAAAACCTGTATTTGTGGGGTTGGGCTGCCAGCCCCGTGTTTGGACACTGTCAAAAGATATGTGGTCCAAATTCTATCCTGATTGTTGAGTTGATGTTGATCCTTCCAAAGAAGAATCCAAAAGAGCTACTACAGTGTTACATAATTATAATATAATAATTCTGGAGCATCGCAGCATCACCAACAAACAACCCTCTCTCCGCTAGAAACCGATCGAGGCGTTCCAATAGGCCGTGTGAGGACAACCTTTCGATTGTTCACCCACTAGCTCAATCACGTGCCACCAAAATTGAGAACTTTTGAAGGAAACTGGACGCGGCCGCATTGGAGCACTCTGCATCTGGGCACCTCATCTCTTTCAGGATTGAGATCGCATGCTGCCATTGTGATGCCTTGCAAGCTGGCCACACGCAGTTGGCGCTCCCAGTCGAAGGTAACAGTCCGAGTCTACTGATGGAGGTATTTCGGTTTGTCAGAAAGTGAATTGTTGCGCAGTACCTGTTCAGTCTACCGCTGGTTTCGCTGGGTTTCGCGGCTAGCGTTCGAAGGGTTTGGGAAAGCGCGCAACGGAGAACTCACCGAAAAACAGAACACGTCCTCCGTTCCGGTGCCAACGTGTCTCGAGTCTGGATTTCGTAGATTTCGCAGCTTCCCGCCCCAAGGGGGCGGGGCATCCCCCGTTATGGGTGTTTCAGTGGCCTTCTCGAGTGCCCCCAGAGCAGCTCCAAAGCCGGGCCGGTCCGCCAGTTCTTGTCGCCTCGGGACGAAGGTGTTCTCGCGGGCTGCGATTTCGCGAGGTCTTCTCCGGTGACGGTGGTTTGGGGGATTAGCGCGTTCAGCTGAGGTGGACCAACTTGAAATCTATGATTGTTTGGACTCAACATTAATAGGCGCGGTGAAAAAAAAAAGGAGGTGTGAGAAGGGAACCGGGAACATCCGTCGGTGGAAGTCTCCCAGCAACAAGGTGAATCTACAGAATCTGAGGTGTGAACCGATCTTGTGATCCCTTGTGGCCTTTGTGATGTTCATCGACTTTCCCGTCGGGCCGGCCTCTGTTTTGGATAGGAATAGACCATGTTTTAGGCTCCAAAATTAAAACAGGAGTCACTCAGGTATAATTCGGTATAATGTATAATCCTCAACAAAACAAAAAGACACAGAACCTACCTCCCGCCAAGGGAAGGGGACGCGTCCCGCCGCCGAAAAATACGCCTGGAGGCCATGAGGAAGACCATGGCCAACTGCCAGGCGAGTCCCTTCCTCGACATCGATGGTCTGTTCGCATCGAACTTCGAATCTCTGGTTTGTGTTTTCAACCCACTTGAAACATAGGAGTCAGAGGGTCCATTTTCAACCCAATCATCCCCAAGTAAGGGTCGAAAAGAAAAAATATCCGAAACCATCACCTAAGTTCGATCTCGACTTCCGTCGATCTTCCTCTCGAAGGGACCCCACAACCCACGACGGCAGAAAAATTGCAGTTTTGGGTGTTCCCCATATGGATTGAGCACATCCCCATCCCCAGCAGTTGTTTGCCATTGATTGGATTAGTCATTGGACAGGTCTAGAGTCTGCCAAGCTTCTCACATGCATTGATTGACCTGAGAATCGCAAACAAAACACAAAATGACATGCCTCAGGGAAAGAATCGAGCAGCAGCAGCAGCAGCAGCAGCAGGATGGTCAAGGAATCTAAAAACAAGTGACTTCAAAGCTAGCGCTGCCGTATGACACATCCACCCGTGGAGCCAGGAGACTCTTGACGAGAGGTTTTGGACGCGAAAGAACAAGGCCTGGCCCTGACCCCACAATCCTTCGCAGCCACGCCACACGCTGTATGAGACAGCATCAGGTGCCCCAACCAGATGGAGGAGCGCCCTTCTCCACTGCCAAGACTTTTCACATGCGCTGGCCACCGCGCAGAGAGAGACCTGCAAAATGGCAAGTTATCAAGAGACCTTCACCTTCTGGACACAAAGGACACCAGCACCTAAAGGATTGAATCGAGATATCCTGAGTTCATCCTTGGAATCCATGTCTTGATGCTTCACTCGAATTGCTTTTGCCTTAGGATTTCCCCAAACAGCCAAACTAAAACCCTGCCTGTGTCTGCAAGCGCCAGCGGCCCATCTGCTGCAGTAGGGCTAAAGCTTTCGTCCACTGGGTGCCCTTCTCGAAAGCGCTCAGCAAGCTGTTGCAGCTGATGCTGCTGACCTTCAAGCGCTCCTGGCGCCAGAAACCCGCTTCAACTCGCAACATCCGCCAGCTGTGACTCCTGCCACAGCTGGCTGAACCCCCCTCCGCGCGCAGAGACACCGATGTTCTGCTCTCCATGGAAAGCGCTCGCAGAGCAGGGTGAAAGCGGGGTGAAACATGAGGCCTCCCAGTCCTCCGAAAGCGGCATTGGCAAACCAATTTCTATGGCGAAGAGTGCTAAGATTCTACGAGCCGGCTAGTCCTCATCTTGAAGCTCTGCCGCACCGAGATCCGGACCTGTCCGCACTCGCCAAATCCTGCCGCGGTGCACGAAGACCAGCGCACCAACTGCTGCTGCGACAGTCGTGAGGAAGTAAAGGAGAAGCAGTGAACCCCCGAGCGACGGTGTCGTGATCAAGGACGAGGTGAAAACATGTTGCCTGTCTTTGGCAATGCAAGAGAGACCTGTCAGTAGTGGTGGCAACTCACTTAGAATGACTGATTCCGGATAATGCATATCGTAGACTTCTTTCTCCGCATAGTTCCGTGTAAGTTCCCAACGTGGGATCACGTAAACTCCGTTTTGTCGGGCCTCTTGGAGCATCATCCGGTGGAGTCTTAACGAACAGTTGTACAAGGATTTCGGAGAAGAGCTGTAGCTTCTGAAGCGTTTGCTTCGTCCCTTTGGGGTCTCGCGCTGGTCCACCATGTACTCCATGCCCACGAGAATCGTGCGGCTCTTCAAGATGGAGTGCTGCTCCAGGAACCGGAAAAAGGCCTTCACGGAGGAAGTATGATAGGTCAAGTTCCGTCGGAGGAACATACAATCATGCACACCAGAAATGACTAACCAGGCTGTAGGCCATCTTCCTGCATCTGCCACCTCTTGCAACACATGTAAATCATTGCTGGGGTCGTGGAGGAAGCGGCGAAAGTCAAAGGTGACACGCACCGGTCGGTCTTGGCCATGCAGGGTGGCATTCCAATCGCAAGCGTGACCCCCCACCCCTTCCCATTTGGGATACTTTAGACCTGCTCTCCTTGTGTGGGCATTGACAAATCTCTGGAAAGCCTTGTCCGGTACTGGGGCTTTGGGGCACTCGTCGACTAGCTTCCTGACCGCATCCTTAGTGTTGCCAAGGTTGATGTTCGCCACATCTTTCAGAAAGGCAGCCCACAGTTGGCGGCCTGTGGAATCACCCGCAAAATAGATCCAGAGTGGTTCTCGCTCTTCGAGAGATAAAAGATGAAGGTTGCCCAGAAATTCTTCCCGGATGCAATTCGATCTTGGTTCTTTGCACAAACCTGGCACAGGACGGTATTTTCAGGACCGAAAAAGGCAAGATTGCAAGACCATGGCTTTCCCTTCTCCCAAACGCGTCCCCCTCTTTCTCAACTGATGATGAGAGGATGTTAAAGGCTGATGGTGGAGTCCACAACCAGGCCTGGTCCAAGCGAGCTTGGCCGCGGCCACTCTCCACAAAGTGTCCAGCTGCACGCATTGCCACAGCTCTCCATGGCACAAAGGAACGGAAGCAACACCCCGACGGCTGAATTGCAATGCTTTGAGGAGGTTACTCCATGGTTGTCAGCTCTTGCCTTGGATTCTGGGTGGTCTTCAAAAGGCACACATGAATTGGTTCTTTTCAACCTGTTCCAATCTAACATTCACGTCTTGATGTACTCCACTGTCGGGCGGCCTTTGTCGCTGTCGCGTTCTCCTTGGGCCGAAGGTACCACACAAGGAGACCGAAGAGACGCGGATTCCTCGGCAAAACGAGAAAGACACCAGTCGGTCGACCAGCACGACCCTCCAAATCAGCACCGAACAAGAACGCACCTCAAAACACCCGAACACCGATCGGGACCGACGTGGGTGAAAGCCAATGGCTTTTCAAACAGGTTGGTTTGGGTGGGTCCCAAGCAGCTTGGGAAATTGGCGCAGGCTTTCAGAGGGAGGCCATTCGTTGGGCACTCGTGCTTCAAGACAGCATATTCGGGAAGCACCCCCCACAACAACGCAAAGGTTCGTGGGCTAGTGTACTTCTGAGCACGTTTGCATATATAATGTGAGAAAGCAAACCCATGTGAGAAAGCACGGGCATGATGTCATGTCTATGGGCTTCCCTGAAAGAGCTGGGCAAACAGACTATAAGTCAAAAGTAGCACCCTCCCTCTACACAGTACCAGGGGCCCGACATGGCCCATCAAAAACTTGGGTTTTCCTAGCAAAAAACAAGTTCTTGTATGTGAAAACCTGTATTTTTCATGGTTTTGAGGGCCCCTGGTAGTGGCTATAAGCATCCGGCTTCCTCAAGGCTCAAGGACGGACACTTGCCCCCACAAAACACACTGCTAGCCTGCGCTGCATAGAGCACACGCGGGAATCACTCTTTGAGTGGTAATCCTAGAAGACCCAGGTGAGCTCCAGATAGATCCTAGGTTAGTTTTCAGAGTTAGATTGCGCAATGGACTGAGAACCTGATACGGATTTGGTTTATGAGCCACAAGTCTTTGCCAATAGGCATATGAGAAGAGAGCCAACAGCCAGCAGCAATAGCTATGACGACACAACTGACGAACAAAGTTATCGTGGTTTTCCTATGAGGATGCCAAAGACAATTGCTGTGGCATTACAGAATTAGAAGAAGAGAAAAGGGGACCAGCATTGAGAAACATATTATAAAAGATGTATAATATAAGGAGAAGCAGCAGTATACAAGAGACTTCTAGACAGAGAATGCTGAAATCGCATGATCCTCCAGGAGTGCAGTGCTTCAAAAGCAAGTTGAGGCCCTACTTCGTGAAAGATGCAACCAGCGTATTCCTTTACAACATATTGCAGTTCATGAAGTTCAAGAGGTTCTGCACGCATGATGAAATGGATGACTAGACTTCAAATCCTGTTCCACACACTTAGACTTAGTCGGATGGATACTTTAGATCTTGCAACGCAAGTGCATCCACAAGCACAGCAGTTTCTTCACAAGCAAGCACAATGATGAACGGCGCAGCTCCAGGTCCTGAAAGGATTCAGATCATCACGCAGGTGACATGAACTCTTCAGACTCAAAATGACTTGACCAATTGCGATATGGTTGGTGGCATGGTTAGATGGTCAGTGACGAGCCTCGTGGACGCATCTTGCAACAAGATACAGCGTTTGTTCTCCCACAGTATTCATTGAGATGTTCTGCTCAACAAAAAATCAGTTGAAAAGGAACAGTTAGGTCAGGCTGCGGATGTTTCAGAAGCAAAGGAAAAGCAAAAGAGAATTGCTGATGAGCAATAGGTGCTGATGAGCATTAAGTTGCAATCCGTGCAGATGACAGGCCATGAATTTGGGAGAACTTCAACAAAGGGTAAGGGAAAGGAATGAGACATTGAACGAAATGAAAAGGAAAAGGATATGAAGACAAAGGAGACGGCAAATCCAATACCAACTATGCAAATCACCGCAGCTATCAAACACAACCAGCCCTTCCTGTCTTCACCAATCAGGTCTTAGACCCAGGAACCGAGTCTCATAGTGCGATAGAGCACCGCTTTACAACTGACACACAAAATCCAGAAAGCAACATACTCCCAAGAGAACCAACCAAATCCCATCAAAAACCCTCAAATTGCCCAGTCAAATCGAGGTGTTCCCTGTCAAACAAAGATGAACTTGTCTTTTTTACTCAGAGTGAGCTGTCAGCCATGATGCGCCTCTGCCACTCCAACTTTTTCGTGTTCATCGCTTTGGAACTGCATCATTCCACCAGAAAAACCTTGCACATTTGGTATTCCACATGTCTGTTCCACCAAATCCGACCACCAATCGGACCCACACGACACCTCACGTGACACCTGACATTTTCCCGATTCTGGGGGGTGCACCTATCCCATTGGCAAAGAAGTCCTGCCAAGAACCCTTGCTCTTTTCCTAGGGGGAATCCTAAGATGGCAATGCCTAGCAACAAAAGTGGCCTCTGGAGCCAGGACCTGCTGATCACAAGTGTCATTTTCCCATCAAACACATGTTCTCCCATCAAATTCATATGAGCTCCTGGTATGTTTCCTTGACATGCTTTTAGAACTGTTGTCAGGAAAGTGTTTGGTGTTTAAAGGTGTTTGCTCGAAGTGAAGAAACACCCATGCACAAGCACAGTATGTGATTCTGAGACAATCCCTGTGTGAGGAACTCTTTGTTGGAGTTTGTTGGAGGAAAACTCACACCTACTCAAGGATACTCTTCGCTTATGGGCTGCGATGGTGAGCCGAAAGGCATTACTGTATATGACTGAGAACCAGTTCCACCAACAATTGCCATCTTGGACTTTGGGCGTACAAAGGCAATGGGATCTTGATGATTCTTCCGTCGCTAGACATCCGGAATCCGGCCGGTACAACATTGATACCAACAAAGGCAAGTTCTACTTCGCCTCACAAAGGGCAACTCGCTCACAGAAGCTGGTACTTGTATCGTCATGATTGGGCTATCCACAACACAGAGTTTTAGACATTGTCGAAGAAGGAAGTCCCTTTGCTTATGAGCTTGCCAGATGAGAAAACCTGGAGTTGAACTAAGGCTAGGCATGCCTTTCTGACATCTTTGCCCTTAAGCATCAGGTATCTTGAGCTGAAAGTAGCAGATTTCCAAGACATTGCATGGTACCTGTCGGAAGTGCAAATGAATGCTCAGCGCGCCAAGACTTTACTCACACTTCGCTCACTACGAACGTCCGGACACATTTCCGTTGACGTTGACGGTGAGAACGCCTCATCAAAAAGCAGCGAGACCGGAAGTCGATTCATCGACGAGAACTGAGATGTCACACAGCAGGGAAGATCGGACGCTTGTTGTGCAGACATCGCTCGGTCTCGTTGGGTCGACCGACTCCAGGGGGCCTGTCACGACGCACCGAAGACAGCTGGAAGCACCTGAAGCCGTTGGAAGGCGGCCTTCCATGTCGCGCAGCGGTGATCGTCCGATTCGGTCCGTCACAACAGCTTTCTGAGCTCCCAGATTCTAACTGGTGCGACTTTCAGCAGGGAATGAGGGTGGCTGGATCCAATACAATCTCTATTGGGGGCGAAACTTCCCTTATTCCCTACGAGTCGCACCAGTCAGAGATTTCCAACCTGGAAGTCTGATCACAGCACCGATCACAGCATTGAGCTTCACCCAGCCCAGCGTTCCTTCTGGTTCCGAACGTGGAGTTTTGGGGCGCTGGAGACCATGCGCTGCGTTCTGTTGTTGGGACCAATGCGCTTCGGGTCACGTCGCCCTCCCGTATCTCCACAGCGGCACCCAAAGATTCGTCAGGTTCCGCACGGCACCAGACAGACTCCCCAGTGTCACGGCGTTCGGCGCACGTTCCAAGCACCGAGACCTAGTGGACACGTTCGGCGGCCCTGACTGCAACACACAGAAGTGATGTCGTGGCGGAGGGGTTTGGAGGGGTTTAGAAGCGCCGACCCTCAAAGTCACGAAGCCAACTCCAAAGCCGACATCCAGACGGCCAAATAGATCATCTGCGCTACACAGCACCGCACCGCACCTGGCCCGCCCGTTGCGGTGCGCTTCCCACACGGGCATTTCGGCTCGCTCGCTCGGCCAACGGAGTACCGCAAGGGACCTTCCGGGACCAAAGGAGACCAGAGGAGACCAGATCACTTTTTGGTTGATCCCGTTCTTTTCTTTGTTTCACCTGCTGTTCTTCTTCTTTTCGATGCCCTCCAGCACTCTACATCCCACTCTATCTCTTAAACTTGATTGTTTAACATTAAGTCCTCGTATGTCTCTGTGTGAGTGTCCTTTCGCAAAGAGACGAGAATTTCAGAGCCGTCTAAGAAGACTTCTTTCTAAAAATGATACTGTCTTGGAAGAATGTCCCTGGCTGCAGTGTGACAAACCACTTGAATGCACAATTTGAGGATCCTTGAGGCGTCTTTATAGTTCTTTTGCCGCTGATGTGTCCTTTGAATTATTTGGGAACTTGTCCAGTCTGTTTCCAACTTCCAACCCTCTCTGCCTCTTATTCCAACGACCTGACCATCACATCATTTCGTAATTTCTCGTCTTTTACGGTGAAATCTGTCTCGATTTGACGAGGCAAGGATCGAACCTCAGCAAGACTTGGAGAGACTCTCGGAGAGACTTGGGTTAAACTTTGGTGTTTTTCTGCCGCGACACGAATTCTTGCAATGCAACCATAAGCGGAAAAATCACCGAAAAACAGATACAATCATATACCCCGGTCACACCAGGAGTTGAAAGACCTCATACGCATCACGGTCCTTGCGCATCACGGTGAACAGGTGCAAGGCCGTAGTCCATTTCCAAGCTCGCTCGCAGGCAGCGATCACCGAGTTATAGGTGACCACCTCATGGACCAATGGACCGAGACGCGTGGTTTCACACGTGGGACGTGGGGACGTGTCACCCCCCATCCAAGTGTCACCATCTGCGAAAAAGCATCAGATGCACGGTGGTTCATGCTCTGACGACCAACTGACCAGTTGAAGTGCCGTGAAGTGGCTGAGAGTATTCCCCGAAAGGACTGGAGGATGTCCATGGGTTTTTGGATGTTTTTGGAGCACGGTGCACCACCAGTCAAGCACCGTGCAGCGAAATAGTCCCATGCAAAAAAGGGTAGCAACCCATGGAAGTTGGTGAATGGACTCTTCTGCATCAAGCATATGAATCACTAAGTTGGTGTGTGCCGACTCATTTCGGATTTGAGGCATCGGATGGTGGTATTGCCAAGACTCCCTCATTCAGCAGCACTTTTTGCAGAGCTAGATTGCAAAGAGACACAAGAGGTACTATCCGTTTCAAAGGGTTGGTATTGATCCCCGAGTGACTAGATGATGCCCACACCTATCCTCCAGCAAGCACCCACTTCCATGATTAGAGTTGCTCTCGTGCCTCGGCTACCAAGGACAGCCCCCCAGAGTCCAGGCCCTGATTTCCCCACTGGCCCATGTGGGCCAACGACTACGACATGTCAAATTCGCTGCCAAATCGTCGGTGAACTTGTGTTTACCTGGACCCTCCAAGTACCTCGGAAACTAGGCAATTCATAAAGCATCTGACTTGTGTTCGGGTCATGTCAGGTGATATTCCCATAAAATTGGGGGACTTATAAGGTCCAGGATGGTCCAGGTATTTCTTTCAGGGAAATAGAGATAATCAAAAAAAAATGAATCAAAAATCAATATAATATATATATATATTAGGTGATCAAGAACATGACAAGAATGAATCCAAACATAGAAATACATGGACCCAAACGTGCAAAGGGAAGAGGAATATTCCAATCGAAGCAGTGATCAAAAAATAAAAAAATTAGTAAAAACGCATCAAAATACACAAACATGAAATCAAAAGAAATGAAATGAACATGAAAATGACATGAAGGAAGGAAGGAAGGAAGAAAGGAAGGAAGGAAGGAATGAATGATTGAATGAATGCATGGATTGGATTGGATTGGATTGGATTGGATTGGATTGGATGGGATGAGTGAATGAATGAATGAACGAAGGAAGGAAGGAAGTAAGGTACATGCACGCTTTCTTCCCAGTGACCGACCGACAAATGAGAGAGCCAGAGCCTGACCATTGTGGTTTCCACTGTGAAATTGAAATGCGCATGAGCCTTCCTTCCTTCCTTCCTTTCTTCCTTTCTTTCATTTTCTTTCTATATCTGTGTTTTTGGTTGATGCGTTCGTATTTTTATATGTTCATGCATTTGTGTTCTTTGATGCGTCTCCCATTTCTTTCATACCGGAGGGATCCACATCACCGTACCTCAGGTTCGGTACGGGACCCTGAAAAACCCTACAGCCGGCCCTACGTGTCTCCATCACCGTACCTCAGGTTGGGTATGTGGCAGTGGACCGACCCCGGGACGTCCACTGGGACGCCACCGCTTCGGGAACCAACGCCGTTCGTTCCAACGCCGATGCCGGTTTCGTCCGGTTTCGTGGGGCGCCCCACATCGGGGCGGACGGACTGCGAGGCTTCGCTCAGTTCGTTGAGGAGCTCCTGTGCCTCCTGAGGGCGATTCGGGTCTGGTGAGGGCACCTTCTCAAAGCAGGAGGTGGAAAGCCCATGGCGGACTGGACAGAGGATAACAGGACTGCAGCTTCACTATTATAGTGCACTGGTGCACCGAAATTTGTAGGTCTGTGCAAATGATTTGGAGCTAAGCGGTTGGCAAACGAAAGGAAGACGTCGCCGCCGCAGGTCTTGCGGCCGTCTTCACGCGCTTTCTCCCGCCGCGTCACTCCTGCCACAAGGCCTCTTTGCTCAGAGCACCCAGCAGCAAATTGTGCTGGACTGTGCTCATCTTGGACTGCAATTGCATCTGCCAGTCCGGTTAGAAGTGCAGAAGTGGTCCGAACTGTTCCAAGCAATCGAAAGGACGAAGAGTATGAAAGCATTTGGATTTTGAACGGAGAGCAAAAGACCTTGAAGCCTCACCATTTGGCCATCACCCTGGGCCCCGCTCTGTCTTGGAGCAAGCTGGTCACCATGAAGCAAAACTGGGTATTCTTGGAGATAGAACAAACCTGAACACCATCTATGCCAAGTCTGCCCGAGGTTCCACTATGGAAGAAGGGGAACCTGAGCAGCAAAAATAGCTGTTACCTTTACGCGTATACAGATACATCTATATATCCTTTCAACCGTCAGTTTCACTTGGTATCTCAGCTTTCAACCCCCTTGAATAGGATATGTGATATGGGAATGAAGCCCCTGACTCTTCTTGAACTAATCTCTTGTGTGTGTGTGACCTCTGGACATGTCAGCTTTTCTGCCATTCAACTGCTGCTCCTCTCCTGTGTGGTCTTCAGAAGTGCTTCCCGATGCCCCAAACGGCACCCTCCGCCTTTCATTGGACCCAGGAAATATAGGAATTGTGACGAAGAAACCTCGAACATATTCACCCTCACGCGGTAAAGGAAGTCAACAATGATTTCCTCTAGTGATGAGGAAAGGATAGCCGATTTGGTACCAAATATATACGTATTTGAATGTATTTGACATGCATTAATCGATGTATTCTTATTGGCTGTTCGTCAACCAACCAGTACATTCAAAGGCCCATCAATCGAACCAACTTGATGGGAGCTAGGGGACCCAAAACACGAGCCATTATTGAGGTATCCAATTCCATGGGATGGTTACGGTCAGGCGATGCATGGCGGTTGAAAACACTTCTACCCAGGCCTGGCCTTTCCATAGATCTGCAGCACCAGCCGCCACAAACGCCCTGATGCAGCTGCCAGCGCCGCTGAGGCCGCTGGCGCTGGCACAAGCTCTCCACCTAACGTCCAAGCGACGAGCTGACTCCATGTCGAAGACATGGAAAGACGACATCAGATACATGGACTCTCATCATATCTCCAACTGAATCTGACTCCATGTTCCAACTTCGGCACATTGTCCATCTTGGGAACTTTGGGTTGGGAGATGTTGGGGGCCGTTTTTTTGAGTCGCCATTGACCAAAACAGCGATCGAGGGTTGATGCCGTTGATACCCCCACATGGCCCACTTAACAGTCTGTTTCAACATTTGGTCTGGTGCCTCATGGTGTCCCAGTTGCACAAGCCTTTGACGAGGAGAATCCGATATCGTACTCGGCGACTCGGCGATTTCTCGTGTCCCGCCTCAGTTTTCGCCTGTCACACCCTGTCCACAGCATCTTTCGGCACCCACCAGGCCAAATGCAGCCCCACCTCTCCTTGAGTTTAGATCCTCTCCATCCACCCAAGTCCTCGCAACGACTCGATTGACTCGATCCCTCGACCTCTTCCGGCCATCCCAGATCCGCACCTTCTTGCCACAAGCACAAGGCCACGTCCCAGCGAAGGCCTTTGGTGCAAGCGCTCATCACACGCGCCAAGGACGACTCGTCCTCCACGTCGACGTGCGCCCAACCTGCGACAAGCGGGACGAGGTTCGGCACCGGCGGCGAAGCGGCGAAGTAACAGGTGAAGACAGAGCTGCGAGTCCGATCCTCAACATCCGTGAGACAAGTGATAGCCCAGCTTGAACATTCGGGTCGTAAGGGAGCAATCTTGAAAATTTTCCTTATGGTGAGTCTTCGAATTGAATTAGTGTTAACACATCCCAATCTAGTCTCAATCATTTTCAGAGTTTGTAGAGATCTGACATGCAAAGCTGCGGACAAAAACCATTCAGCGTTTGCCGACCGTTTCAGCAAACTCTTCCACCGATGACTGTCCTTTTGAGTGGACCCACTGTTTCGTGGACCGTCCACCGGGGCGCGAAAGCCTCTTGCCTGCCAAAGCCTCTTGCCATTCCGATGCGCTGCTGCAAACAGCTATCAAAGCGGCCCAGGGTGGACCAGGTGGACCATCTTCTTTGGCGAAGTGGATCGCACGCTTCAGGTGTTGACCTGCCAGTTGAGTGGATTGGTTTCTCACCGAAACAACCTCAACAAAAACAAACGCCACTTGGATAACTTCGAGGAGGTTGGACCAAAGTCTGGTCAATCGGAATTGCCATTGGGACGAAGACTTTTCACCGGCCGTCAGGGACAAGCGCCGTCAATCGCTGCCAGTGTCCGTCAATCATTTTTCAGTATGTTGAACGTAGTTAATGTTGAAGTTGTTCTGTCTTGAAGTTGTTGGGCGTTGGAAAATGGTTGGCCGTCGTCTGACGACGGATGGCTAGGTCAACGGTAGGTCCAATGGTTGGAGAGACCGTAGGTCATGGCCCACTGCGGATCGGTGATTGGCAGGTCATCTCACCAACGAAAACATGTAACATGACACGTGTCTTGACGAAAGGGATCTTCAAAAATAACAATTTGAATCTATATTGGAAAAGGATTTTAAGGATGAGTGGAGAACTAAGGGCTGGAAAAAGGTGTTCTGGCAGGAAAAGAACTGTTACATTATCACAGTTTCGATTCCACGGGACAAGTGGTGTGTGGGGGCCCATTGCTGTCGTTTGGTGCTTTTGGTTCATGGGAATGCAACATTAACCAGTGTTCAACTTACCTTTTGGTATCATACCTTCGCATTCATCCAAGCCATTCTGGGGAAGTCGGCAAAAGGACAAAAGATCAAGGGTGATCCTGCTCAGGACGTTCCCCAATGATTGCTTAACAGGTTCGAACCTCTCCCAAACGAAGTCTGGCTTGGTTGGATGTGTTCATCCCTTTGCAGAGTTGGTTGGTTTCAGGATCTTACTCACGGGTGATAAAGCAACACTTGTCGATGAGAAAGACTTCGTATATTTGTTGGTATACCACTTACTCACAAACAAAAACCGAACAAAAAGACCACCATTCGGTCACGCACAAACTCGGTCGTTCTTTTGGTCAATTCAGAATTGGTCATTCTTTTTCTTACTCATTCTAGGCTACCGGCTAGACCGACGGCTAGACCGAGAAGGTCGAATAAAAGGTCTTATACTCATTCAGGTCATTTCACAGCTTGGTCGCCGGAGAAAAAACGAATGGAACAGTCTCCGACCTCCTTCGCCTTCGGTCGCTCCGTCTTCCGGACGAAAAGCCACGGTCCCGGCTCCCGCCTCGTGCCAGCGCGTGGACTACGCATCCAGCACTCACCCGATCGGCGCGGTCGGCACGACGCTGGCGCTGGAAGATGGCCAGGGCCTCAGCGTCCCGCCGAGCCGACCCGCCGTGGTTTCCTCAGTTCTGGCTGGGACACGTCTGGTGTGGGACACATCTGGGGGAATCGAGCAGTCATCAAGTTATGAAGCTTTGAGGATAGTATAGATAATGAGAAAAGACTTGAGAAAAGCTATGAAAGACTCCAAGACCAAGGTCCCTTTTTGCCAGCAACTAGCTAAACCTGACTAGCCTCCAATAGTATGCCGCAACTCAAACTCAAAAAATGCACTTGCATGCACTTGCAGGAATTCGATGTGCATCAAAGAATCAAAGAACCCCCATTTTCGAGGCGCTCAAAATGGCCGTCGATGGACTAGTGGAAGTTTGTTCCTCTTCCCACTGGCCCATCCCCAACCATCCATATAATTATATATATATATTTGCCTCCCCATGCAGTGCTGCAGGGAGTGTGGCTTGGTGGGACACCGACATGCAAACCCAAAAAAAACTCAAACTATTCTCATGATGAGATCGACTGATTACTATAGGGCCTCTTCTTCTTCGTCGACGACGAGCCTCTTCCCATTGACGGCCCTCGGTGGCCGCTTGCATCGTTGCATTGTGCAGCACCTGAGTGCTGTGCACTTGGCCGCGGAGATGCCGAAGATGGCCGAAATGTGGGACATGCAAAGCAAAGAATGATCAATTCAATAGTAAACAATTTTATTTACTATACACAAACCGATTTTTTGCAAATGAACATTAACATATATATATATATATACACGTCCCTAGAATCATGGAAGTGGACAACCAGCTGTTTGGTATTCAGATTGCATGGTCATCCGAACTCGGGGCCACGCAAGCCACTATGATTCCAGGGAGTGTATATGGTTGCTGGTTTCAACTCACGAACGAATAATATGAGTCAGTGGAAGCAACAATCTCAAGGAAAATGTGTGTGTGTGTGTCTAATTACATATATACCGATAATAAACAACCATCCAGAAGTCATTCAAGATCAAGGAGTTCTAAAGCGGCTGACATGGCTGCTGCACAATCCCCTATCCTGCACGAATTCAGCGCCTCTTTGCAAACATCTGGAAAAGGACGTTAACCCACATATGAATTTCTTAAGATGTCCCCACTCCAAAAGCGTCGTTTTTCTTCCCCAAAGTCACGCCACTCGATTTATGTCGGGAGCAGTGGAGCAGTCCTCGACACTCTGTGGACGTCGGTGTTTGACCGGAGGAAGCCGAACAATAAGAGTCTGAGAAACAACGAGAGGTTCAACAGAAGAACACCAAGCCTTCGGGCCGGGAGGGAGGCGGTTCTCTCGCTCGCTTTAGGTCTGAACAGGGTGAACAGGGATTCCTTGGATGTGTCCTCGCCCTGGCAGTGGATGATGACTCAATTCTCTTTGCCGATTTCAATGATTCGTGCATCCGGGACACCAAAAGGATACAAAAACATGAGCAAGCGAGCAGCACCAAGCACACAGCATCTGTTCCAAGTGAGCCGTATCAATCGGTTTCTCGGATAAACCCACTGCTTTAGATTCAAGCAAGTCTCGAAGAGTACATTGAGGAATGTGCAGGATCAGTCAGAATGCTAAGTGAAAAAGGCCGACAGAACTGAGAAAAGGAAAGGTCTATTGGGCCAAGGTCTAAAGAAAAGCAAGGGTCTAAAGGTCTAAGAGAAAGAATGTCTAAAGGATTCTAAAGGTCCTAAAGAAAAGTAATAAGGTCTAAAGGTTTATATGTTAAAAAGAACGCTGTGGCCCGTGCCAGTCAATACCGCTCTGCCCAGCCACAGTGTCGCCAGAACGGCGGCCCACACGCAAGGCGTCGCGCCAGCGGCTGCTCTTGCCGAGGCCTGCTGCGATAAGTGATAGGCACCAAACAGGAAAAGGATCGCACAGCTGGGTTGATTGGTCACTTGTGCAAATTTCTGACTTCAAAACGTTGGAAGTGGTGGAAAAAAAGGCTGAAGAGCAATGTTTGTTCGGCTTCGCTATGCTTCGCTGCTTCGCTTCGGGCCTTTCTTGGGAAGAGACATGATGGAAAGAGGCAAGTTCGTCCTCCCAAGAATACCGTGATCAATACCAAACGAATACCGCGCGAATACCGGGGCGATGATCAATAGCGCGGAAGCCTCGCCTGGCTTCCGGGTGTGTTCGATGTTCAATTGTGCGAAATGGGAGTCAATTGCACAACTATACACATTGGCTGTTTGGGGGGAGGCAATCTACCTCAACTACTACAGTCACCATGTCTTTGAACTTCCCAGTAGAATAATGCTAAGTTGAAATCCAAACAAACATGTGCGCTTTGTCCACATGCAGGAATAGAAAGAACAGATCCTGAAAAACGCCTGTCCATTTCTTCAAATACATCAATGTGATTCAATGTGATATGATACACCAGCTTTACAGCAGAGCGGACAGTGCCTGCAATCACTGCCGTGAGTCGTTTCAGCCGTGCGAGACGGCACGTCGTTCCCGCCATGGCGCCGCGCGCCGACGGGACGCGTCATGGCGAGGAGGGTCAGATGATCCAGAGAGAAGAGGCCTGACGCCGGTCGCGTCGAACCTTTCATGTCTTGTTCGGTCGATTTTTCGCAGATGTGAAAAACATCCGAATGAGACGCATCAATGGTTCCGCCGCCGCGCGCCAGATGCCGCGCGTGGCTCTCCAAGCTGGAGCCCCATCGGACCAAACAGGTCAAGTCAGACTTTTACTCATGCAGATTATATGCATATAATGAGTACTTCTCTCAAGGTCCACAAGACATATACAAGATCCTGTTATAACAAGACAGAACCAGTTCTCATGGTCCCATCAGCTCCCCAAGAATCCCACAAGGTCTCCAAGGGCCCGAGGACCGAATTGAATTCACGAAGAGGTCTGACTGTTCCGGAGCGGATCTCCACGGTTCCGCGGAATCGCGTTCTTACTCGAGCGGTTGGCAGGGAAGGAACGTTGCGGTTTGCAGCGTGCCGCGGCGGCGAAGCCCACCCAGCACATGAAAGGCTATGGTGTTTGGCTCACTACTGATCAGTTGACACAGCAGGTTGCTTTCAGGGGCGCGGACTCTGGGGTGGCACCATCGAAACACCCAACCACGGGTTCCAAAGCGCGGCACGAGCTTCTTAGAGGAACACAGGACACCAAGCGAGGTCGTTTTGGTTGGGCGCCATTTGGCTGTGAAACCGCCACCACCAAACCATGGGAGGCGACATCCCAGGAATCTGTCCACTGCCATTTGGTTGTATCACATGCGGCTCAAGGTGTGTACATGGCTTTGAGGCCGAGCCCCTTCGCCGTCCGATCATGACCCATCTGCCGAAGTCGGACATTTTTTTGGCTGAAATTCTGGTCGCTGTCGGGACAGTTTTGGGCCCTCGACCACTGGAGAACTTGATCGAATGCTTCGTTTTGGGATGCTTTCAAAGTCTTCGCACCCACTTCCGTTCGGACGCCATGACGAAATTGGAAGGTTGAGCCGCACAGAGTTGGCGGGCACAAAAACACACAAACAAAGGATGGAACACTGCATCACTGGTGCAAATGAAACTGCAGAGTCGATGAAGTGACCGGAACCACAAGAACCCTTGTCTCTTGTGTATATTATTCTAAATCTATTAATGGTCGGCTTGGATCGTTACCTTTACGTATGGAAGCCTATGAACATCTGCCACACCTTTTTTGGCTAGTTGAGCTTGTGATTGTGGAGTATCTTCAGGACTCTTCTCCAACCCCAGGGCAGTGCCTCGCAACCACAAGGTGGGGGGTGTGGACATTTTTGGTGTGTCGTGACGAACACATCTAAAACATCCATCTGACTCCGTGTCAGCATCAGAATCGGCCAGGAACCGTTGAGCACTTTAGATCACTTATACGTATAACAACCTCTGAACATGGTAGACCATATCGAAGGAACAACAAGCCTCGTTCGCGTCCTCGTGCGTCCGACGCCCCGCTCTCAGTCTTCCTTCGAGCGGTGAATGTACCTGATCACTGCTCACTGGTGCGAGCTTCGTGCATGGAATGAGGGCTTTCCTGGATCCTGAAGTTAAAGGTCATTCCTCATCCTCTGCAGAAGTGCTTGGAGTTGGAATAGATCTTCTACTTACACCCCAGGTAAACCGAAAAAGACCCGGCAAGAGACCCCAAACAGGGTGTCTGAAGGTCTAAGGTATAGAGGTGGGTTCCAGAGAGAGGTGATGGTGGTGATGATGGTGGTGATCGTGGTGATGATGGCGGTGGTGATGGTGGGGATAGAGGTGGTGATGATGGTGGTGATAATGGTGGTGGTGCTCGTGGTGGTGGTGGTCGTGGTGGTGCTGCTGCTGCTGTTGGCGGTGGTAATGATGATGGTGATGCTGGTGGTGATGCTGGTGATGATCATTGTGGTGCTGAATGTGGTGTTGCTGGTGTTGGTGGTGGTGATAATGGTGATGGTGATGGATGCGATGGTGATGGTGATGACGGTAGTGAAGGTGGTCGGGATGGTGGTAGTAGTGATGGTGGTGGTGGTGGTGGTGGTGGTAGTAGTAGTAGTAGTGGTGGTGGTGATGGTGGCGCTGACAGTAGTGGTGATGATGGTGGTGGTGAGATGGTTCCCAACTAAACTAGTTTTTGAATCGAAGGTCTAGTAGGTGCAGATCGAGAGGGAGAGAGAGAGCACATATATGAGAGCATTTTTTGGCTCGGGTCCTACGAAATCTGCGCTTCAAGGTCCACAAACTACTGCACCCGCCGCGAAATCTGCCACAAAGTACTGCGCCCGCCAGGAAATCTGCACATCAAGGTCCAAAAGGTACTGCGCCTGCCTTGAAGTCTGCACTTCAAGGTCACAAAGTGCTGTGCTTGCCATGAAATCTGCACTTCAAGGTCCACAGAGCGTCGCGCCTGCCACGAAATCCACACATCAATTTAGAATAACTAACATCGCGCAGCAGCGGCGCAGCCTTGCCAAGGCGATTCGCAGCAAGAACATGCCCAAGGACAACATCAAGATGTCAAAACGCTGCTTTCGCTCGAGACTTTCAAAAGCACAAGGGTTTCCCTGGCACCTGCCACGAAAAGTGACCACCAAGTCAAAAAAATGTGCACGGGCCCACCAGATTTCTGTGAGCTTGCGCAGTCGAAATGCACTTCGAAGATCTCAAGCTGAATGAATGGATGCGAGCACCTCAATCAAACACCCGTCCTTAACCCCTACCGCAAGAACCCCCTAGTGCTCCCACACCACACTGTTTGGGGCACTCCGCCCCAGGCCCCCAGAACGCCCCAGCCTACAAGAAGAAAAACAGTGCCGCTCTGCCGCAAAATGATGTTGTCAAGGAGAAAAAAGAATATATATAATTATACTATTATAAAGTAAGCGTTTGTGGGACACATCTGCCCTGTATATAACCATTCTAGATATTGATATTGACAAAGAAATCATCTTCTTAGGTCCTGTTTGTTCAATCTCTTGCGCTGGGAAGCCTAAAACGTCATCATGACGACATCGTCTAAGACATCAGCTTAGGTTTTTTTTTCTTCCGATAGTACCGGTCACACCCCCAACCGGGTACACCCGGTTCGCGGATCACCTGGATCGACGAGATCGCTGAAAGAACTTCCGCTGCAGCGCACTTCACGTGCAGTTCCAGGGCATGTTGCGTGTCAAAGCTCTGATTGCACTCCTGGCACTTGAAGGCCTTGTCCTGCCAGTTCCCAAAGAAGCCCACGGTCACTTTGAGTGATTCGATGGACGGAAAAACGGAAGATGGCAAAAAGAAGTTCTGAGCTACAAGTATTGAATACAAACATCGGCATGGCTGACTTCGATGCACTGGCAGAAAGGGTGTCTACAAGCACCAATAAGCACATGTCCAAGCCACTGCTGAGCAGAGCGACTTCCACTGCGGTTTGCTGCTCACTGGTTGGCACACCATCAGCTTGGGTTTCTCTGGGGCCTCCAGCCGGCAGCCGTTTTGACACCAGCTTTCATCATTACCCGTACTGGACTGGATGGAACACCCTGTGTCCATGAACCTCCTCATGTTGCAACAAACTGCTTTGGTGGCTTGGTAGGAATGGGTTGAAGCACGGAAAACATGCGAATTTGGCTTGTTTGGGGGCCATTCTTCAGAAAAGGGTGGTTAGAGACTAGAGAGGTGGCTTGTTTGGGAGGCTACAAACTAAAACAGAAAGCACCTAGTAATCCTAGGGGAAACAACGATCCAAACACCTGGGAGAGGATCCCGGAGCCTGCACCGCAAGCTGCTCTTCAAAGTCTTGAGTGGACATCAGCCACGGAACATGGAGCTGGGTGTTGTCTCCAGGAGAGTGCAACTACTACCTTGCTTGTCTTAGATCCACTCGGACAAACTATGAAGCTTCTGTTCAGGCCATCTCCGCTTGGCTTCCCCTCATCCAGCTCTCTGCGAAATCCCAAGTACGACCCTTTGGCTGTTCGCAAATAAAGCGACCTAGCTTGAACAAGGAGTCTTCGACTGATCGGCCACAAGCTAGGAACCCGACCTATCTGCTGAACCCACCCACCCAGCTAGGTCCGGCAGAGCAGGCTGCCATCGGGAGTCTTCATCCACGGAACAAGTGTCAAAGCAAATTCGGATTTTGTGGCCGCCTTCGAGTGTGCCTTTGTGGTTTTCGGCTCCCGTCGGTGGCGGCACTGGCTGGGCGAAAGCACAAGTCTGGGCTACCCTGCACGCACATCCATCACTGGGGGCACTGGAGTCTGGACAGGACAAGGAGTTCAGCAGTGCACATCGCCGATCATACCAGGGGGGGTCGGTCTAACCACCTGAGGATATGGGCCACGAGCCCTAGGGTACAGGAACGATGTACATGTGTGATCGATGTCCTGGGTGCTGGGCAGTGCCCAAAGCTCCCGCTTTTTGGGAGCCACGGAAAAGACCCGGCTGCATGCAGCTGCATGTGGCGATCGCAAAGGAATTCAACAACGGGTAAACCCACGTCTGGCTCGTGGACCGGGCTGTTTACCCATTCATGTGAGCTCACTTGACCACCAACCTGTTTGGGGTACTTCTAGAGTGTTTTCGGAGAATAGCATGGGCTGTTCCCTGCTTTCTCTCGTGGTGATGCTTGGTTTGAGCCAAACCCACCAAATCCAAGAACATCGAACAAACGAATTAAGGACCCTTATGGTAGAACATGCATTGCATTGCATAAAAATAAGATACTATATAATGTATGTAATGGATTATGTATAATATATATATAGTATATCATATCTTATATATATATAGTGGATTGGATTTTCAGAAAACGCGCACTTTCTCATTATGCCTTTCCCACACACTCCATGGGACTGGAAAAAAGGCCTGGCAGTCCCATGGGTCGTGTCTGGGTTTTGTTTCATTCCAGGAACCTCCCGTTTCTTCCGTTGGGATCAGGTGTCACGAACCGCGGCCTTGACCTGAGGGGCCATGGCCTGGGCGTGAGACAAAGCAAGAACTGCGTCAATGGTCCGCAAAGCATATGTGCTGGCTACCTGCCAGGCCTACCTGACATGCCACTTGCTTATGCATTTTTGCATTAAAAAGAAACATCCTTTGTGCAGAGTTACAACACCCAGACCATCTGTCTCCCGCTCGGTCGAAGGCCGAAGTTCCTTGCT